GCCCTATGTGAGCAGTAATGATTTGGTATGGCTATTGATCCTAATAAGCAATCAGTCACAAACCAGAGAGTCTGACATGATTGCTTGTCTCTTTAGTAAAAACCAATATCAGTAACAAACTAGCATGTCGTTATTGCATTTGTATGCTGCAGGTACATAACAACGCAAGTCCATGTCAGGATAAGCATGAAAAAGTAAAGAGTGTTTGTGAAGACAGATACCTTAATTTTACCCTCTAGCCATTCCTTGCACCCTTTCTTCTCTCTCTTTATTTTTCTCTTCTCTTGTTTTGAGTCCTTCCTTCCTTGCATGCCTTCTTTCATCTATTGTTCTGTTTTCCTCCTTTTTTCATTTGTCCTTGTACTTGTACAACCGTTCAGATCCTCTTCTTATCCAGTCTTATTAGGTTCTTGCTCCATTCTGACTTTTCATCTGTTCTTGTATAAATCCTAGCATCCTCCCTTCCTTGAGTCTTTTCTTCCATACATCCTTCTGTCTTTCTGAACTTCCTCTCTTTCTGGTGTGAAACCCGGGTTCAATCCTTCATTGCATCCTAATTTCCTTTTTTTATTCGGGTTTTCCTTCCTTCCTTATCTCCATGTATGTTGTTTTTGAATCCTTCCTTACATCCTGCCTCCCATCTGTCTACCACTTTCTTTTCACTCGATCCCACTTTTAAACCCTAACAGTGAATAATATAAGGTTTTTGTTGTATTAAAGGGAGTGGTGGCCTAGTGCTTATGGCATTGCGAGTGGAATCCAGAGGTTCTGAGTTCGAGCCCCACTCCCACAGACTGCCACTCTAGGTTCCTGAGCAAAGACCCTTAAACCCACACTGCTCCCCAGGTGCCCCATGATGGCAGCCTACTGCTCCTCCAGGGGATGGGTTAAATACAGAGTTCATTTCATTGCTCTGTACTTGTGACAGTGTAACGATAGTAAAAAAGCTTGAAAAAAAATCTGTATTCATGTTTTGGAATGGCAAAAAAGACTGGGAAACTGATTTGGATTTTTCTATGAAACTATGAATGACCCCTGGTTAATTTTGTCTTATTATTTAGATTGATTTGTTTCATTTATTCTTTCTTTTTTCCAAGACATTTGTAGCACTATGGGCTATAATTCTAAACTTTCACCACTAGTGGGTAGCCTAGAGCTGATAGTAAGAACCCTATTTGAAGCAAATGCACTTTACATTCATCATGCATTTTTACTCTACATGGCAGCTGATGTTGTTGCCCATAGCAGCAATTTAACACAACAAAGAAAAACTGAGAAATGTTCCTGTTATTTGCAAATAGAGTACACCAAGAAATAATGCTTGAAGGGATAGCACAAACAACATAAACCCATTTGTCTTTTTCTATGTAACTGCAATAAAATATAAGGCACTGAGTCGTAACCCAAATTTTAAACAGATTGATTATGTTGTGGCAGTGCTGCATATCCCTGCTGCTTATGTCAATAAAACATAAAGTGGGAGCATTATTTGAACATAAATCATCAGTCTTGGCTTTTATTGATTCCTTTACTATCAGATATCTGTATTGTATGTTTCTGGGGAAACTTTATGCCTCATTATTCCTTTCTGAGCAGTTTGCAATAAAACAGAAGAAAGTGGAATGAGATGAAACTCTGAATGAGGTTTATTTTGATTGTTTATACGTGTACAGACTTACCTGCACAGTTGGCCCCGCTTGCTGTGTGTTCAATAAGTTAGGGGACTCCTAATGTTCAGTGTGGCCCTCCAGGAAACCCACTGCAGAGATTATGTCGCATGATTTTGCAAAGCCCCTGTTTCCTGGAGTGTGGGTGTGTATGTGTGGATGGGGGGGTTCTGCTCTCCCCCTATCGCTGCGTCATTCAAGGTAAATATATTCCTCCCCTCCGTCCCCTCATTTTTCTCCCCCTTCCAGATCTTGTCTTTCTCTCTCTGGCAGCTCTCCTTTGTTGCAGCCAATCTTATCTGTCTCTGATTTTCCCCCCTCCACGCTGTTCTCCTTTCTCCCTTTGTTTTATTTTCCACAACCCCGTCCAAATGTACAAAAATAGAAGTTGGACCCCTCTTGAGCTGTCTTCCTCTGCTTTCCTCCCCCTGCAACCCTGCACAGAGCAGATCGCTGGCTTGCAGCAACACTTCCTCTGAACTCCCCACCGTCTCTATCTAAACTCCCCCGTGATGCCGTTCCATCCCTCCTGACACGTCTTAAAGTCAAAGATCTCTAAAAGAGGCGTAGTTCATTCCTGGCTTTTCCTTTTTTTTCATCTCTCTACAGAACGTTTGCAGGAGAGGCCAGTAAGATCAGTCTGTGTATAGTTTTGTCACATCTCATCGTGCTGCTTCCTCTCCACCCTCCACCCCTCCAGCTCACATCTGCTCTGGATGTTTTCTTCCGCCAGTAACCCCCCTACACTCTCTGGTTTCCTTAGCCAGAGTATAGGAGCTCTCACCTCCTTCGGGAGGATACGGTAGAGCTAGTGAGCGTCAGTGAGTCAGTGCAGATAGTGTCACTCTCTGTTACTGATAACCTCATTGTGCCGCAGGAACCAGAGGACCGAACCCTCCGGTGAAACAACCCCTCCACCACATGACCTCTCTCAGGCTGGTAGAAAGGCAATTAAGCTGCTGTGTTAGAGCTCAGAAGCCCAGTGTGACATTTCAGGTTGCTCCCAGGTGGGATATTCTTGGAAGATGGGCAAGTGAATCATTCTTACAGAAGTACACAAACACATGTTAAATTATTTGAAAAACTGGACCAAAAACCTCCAGCTTAATGTTTACAGATGGTTGTAAATGATGATACATCATAGCATGTAATTTCACACCTATATAATTAACTACCTGTGCTGTGAACAAGTGTCTCATCACCATATAGAAAAAAAAACACTGTGATCATCAGCAACTCATTCATACAAGCGTAAAATTACCACCAATTGCATAATGCACCAGGATTGCAGTCTTTTTTTAATCCATCTTATTTGGTCTGAAAAGGACATATTTTTAGAAATGTTGCAAAAACACTCACAGCTCTGAAAAACTTGATTTTTGATGTGTTTGGAGGTTTTATGGGGTAGACCATCAAACTCCAGGAAAATATAACCTTTTCTATTTGTTTTTGCAAATCAGAATCAGAGAAGTTTGGCAGAAAATCAGCACTTTGTAAAACAGTGTTACCTCACATTAAAGGTTGTATGTCTTTTTAGGTAATTCTCTAACAGCATTTTCATTCTTTCTTGATGTCCACCCAGAAAGGAAGTAGAAGACTGCTCAGACCCTTTCCGATAATCTCCTTCTAGTTTTCCTGGGTTAGGATTATGGTTGACAACTAGGCTTGATAACTCTCCTCAAACTAATGGGGAAGTTATAGAGCTTTGCCAGTTGTTTTCATTTGGTAGTATGATCTTTGAAGATGAACTCTGGAACTTTGAAGCTAGTGGTACCACCATTTATTAGAGCAGTGGCTCCTAAAGTTTTTTTGGTGGGCCCCCCTTTTATTTTTAAAAGAAAACTTTTTGTCCACACCTCAACCAATCTTTTGACCAACCAATCTTTTGACAGTTGAGGAACTGCTGCTGAACTGCTGCTGAACTGCTGTAAAGCACTATACAATCAAATAATCTACAAGCTCCTTTAAATCACAAAACTACTTGTCAGAAGATCAGAATGTAGGACCCAGAAATTAAGCAGAGAAATAAGGGTGATTTCAAAACACACATTTTATTAAAACGTAAGGCTGCTCATCATCTGAGGCAGGTTCACTGGTACTCTGTAGAAACGGAAACTCATGTTAAGGACTTCAGAACATAGGCGCGAAACATTAATAGGCATGAGAGTAACCAACCTGGTAAAGTTCAGTCTGAGCTCAGACAAAGAAGTGAGTCGAGGCAGGAACTGGTTTCCAGACCTGGAGATCAGAAGTACAAGAAGGAGCTGAAGGGATATCCAAGCTGGGGTCAGGAGACAGGTCCAAGGTAATTAACAGGCACAATCCAGGTAACAGTCTGGAAACAGATTAGGCACAAAGAGCAGAACAGGGACAAGCTAAACTCAGAAATCTGGGCGCAAAAACTAGTAAGGATCAATAATAAGAAACTCACAAGAAGGCTAGAAAACTCTCAGACTCAGCTAAAATAATGTGGCACCAAAAGCTGAGAACAGGTAGCTTAGTTAGAAGCAGGAACAGGTGGATCTGATGAGTGTCAATGAGCGCTGTCCGGAACAAAGCAGATGTGAGAAGAGAGCCAAATCCAGCCATAGGTGCCAAGATAATGACACTACCACCTTCAAACTGTAATCATTTTAATTATGTAACAGAAATCAATATTAAATTCCAGTTCATATTTACTATTTTCAATTACTTGCCTGCTTTGTCTGACTATCACAGTTACTATCACAGTTACAACGCAACAGAGCGTCGAACTACACCTGTTTGAATCCCTAGCCAAACTCTTCCGGCCTCCTTATTTTCATGGCTCTCAAAGGACCCAGTCCAGGTAGAGCGAGTCCTTGGAGGATGCAGCCTTTGAAATCGAACACACGGCGGATGTAAAATATGAAAAAGCTGAAGAGGAAAAAAAGTTGTTGGACTGAGGAGGGAGGAGCAAAAAGTAGTAAGTGCAAAGTCAACAAAAACTTCTAAACATATAGATCTAAAACCAGAACCGCATCATCATCATCTGCCACCATTTTTCATTAGGATATGGGTGTTAATGGTGGTGGAGGCTGTATGTAGCTCATTATGTTTATAGGGCATTGTTCAAATTTAGTTGGTTTCATGATTTCGCTAACTGACAAAGAAGTTTATCATATACACTCAGACCGTAGCGTACATAATCTAAAATGTTGCCTTTAGGATCACGTTCAGTGTCACCCCCTGATTCCACAGCCTCCATGTTTACTCCACGTCTGCCCCACGGAGCAATTGCTTTATGTTTCCTAATAATTACGATTTCACATTCTTTGTGAATACCTGTAAAGTCCACTAAACTGCTTTCTATCCTTAACTGTCATTATACAGAACAACTCCAGGTCCAACCGGCTCCAGCTTGAGCATGCTCTCTTTGGGCTTTAAAGAACCTAAAGCAGAGATTGACCATGTACCATGGGTGTAGTAGGTGTAACTTTTCATGGACTCAAGGAAGCGGTCCGCAGTAGAACTGACTCATACAGAAACCCTGGTTAAGGGATCTGAGCATAAGTTAATCAACACATGCAGTAAAACTTTCTGCATGCATTTAAAAAAGTTCCCAATTCTCAGCTACACCATGTTTCTCATTATAGTGAGGTTCTCTCTACAGCTTGCATCAAACTGGAAACCCTATGGCTTTCTTTTAGAGATGACTTTTGTTTTGCCACTCCTTTATAAAGACCAAATACTTAAGACAGTACCATTAAGAGTCTTATGTAACTGGATTCTCCCTGGTCGTTTGGGTTAAAACCAATTTTATCTGTCGGTATGGGAGTAAAAGTGGAAAAGAACGTCAGCTAGTTAGCTTTGTAGAATAACAACTTTCAGTCGATCGCATGGCAACATAGAGATAAACAACCATTCACTCACACTCTCACACCTAATGTTATGATCTTGGCGCTGATGGTTTGGTTTTTTTCCTTTGCTCATTGCTCAGCAATCTGTAGTCTGTCTGTTTTCCTGATTTTAACCAGTTTCTGCCCAGAGGATCTCGAGTTTTGCCTTGCCCCTGTCTGCTCTGGTTGTCGTATCTGATCCTGGATTCTACCGGCTTCTGAACCTGGAACTGTCTTCTGACATCGTCCTTGGATTTCACTTCTGGACTCTGTTGCTGCTCGGCGTCGGATGGCACCGGCTCCGCTTGCTCTCTAGGAACTCTGGGGGCGTTGTCCCTCCTGGATTCTGATGTGTTCTCCGCGAACGGACTGAACTTTGAATCAGGTCAGTGACTTAGCTCNCCAATTTTATCTGTGGGTATGGGAGTAAAAGTGGAAAAGAACGTCAGCTAGTTAGCTTTGTAGAATAACAACTTTCAGTCGATCGCATGGCAACACAGAGATAAACAACCATTCACTCACACTCTCACACCTAATGTTATGATCTTGGCGCTGATGGTTTGGTTTTTTCCTTTGCTCCTTGCTCAGCAATCTGTAGTCTGTCTGTTTTCCTGGTTTTAACCAGTTTCTGCCCTGAGGATCTCGAGTTTTGCCTTGCCCCTGTCTGCTCTGTTTGTCGTATCTGATCCTGGATTCTACCGGCTTCTGAACCTGGAACTGTCTTCTGACATCGGCCTTGGATTTCCCTTCTGGACTCTGTTGCTGCTCGGCGTCGGATGGCACCGGCTCCGCTTGCTCTCTAGGAACTCTGGGGGCGTTGTCCCTCCTGGATTCTGCTGTGTTCTCCGCGAACGGACTGAACTTTGAATCAGGTCAGTGACTTAGTTCCAAGTCGTATTCAGCTCCACATCCTGTCACTGACCTGTATTCTCCCATCTCTGCAGAGATCCGTCCCGCAACACTGCGTTCCTGTTAGTTTAAATAAACGCTTTGAACTTTCCCATTGCCTGCTCGCCTTGAATTCTGGGTGCAACATTCTGAGATCATTACACCTAAGGACAATTTAGAGAAGCCAATTAACTTAACAGTCATGTTTTTTGACTGTGGGAGGAAGCTGGGGTACCCAGAGAGAACCCACACGTGCTCAGGGAGAACATGAAAACTCCATACATGAAGACCCCGGGCTGGGAATCAAACCCAGAAGCTTCTTGCTGCGAGGCAGTAGTGCTACCCACTGTGCCAGGTTTTTCTTGTTTTGTTTCCTGGTGTAAAAATAAATATTTAGGCATGAACTAGTGTAGAGTTACGAGCATCTGTTATACTTAATTATTACACATAAAGTTCAGTGACTTTGGACTTGCTGCTTTTGCAATACTGTTAAGTTATCAGCTACTGGGATAAGGAGGATGGAGAGTTTGTGATCAACGATACAGATTACTGTAAGCTATTATGCTGTCTGTGAACCTGAAGGCAGATGATGGAAAATGAATAGAGATTAATGTCTGTTATCAATTCAACAGTTTTAACCTGCTCTGTGGAGATGTTGTACTCTTGTTGAACTCCTTTCTGGAAGTAAAAGCAAATTATCTCAAGTATCTGGCATTTGTTAGTAAGGTGAATATTAAATATTGAATGACTTTAGGCAAGGCAAGGCAAGGCAAGGCAAATTTATTTGTATAGCACAATTCCGTACAAAGACAATGCAAAGTGCTTTACATGATTAAAATACAGGAAGATAAAACAGAATCAAAGCAAGTAGGGAAAAAAATAAAAAAATAAATAAAATAAAATAAAAAATGCAGAAGCAAAAAGAATATTAAAAGCAGTTGGACTAAAGAAAATATGTTTTAGTTGAACTGCTTAACTAGAACAGTCGAAGGCAATCCTAAACAAATGTGTTTTTAGTCTTGATTTAAACTTTAAACTCAGGCTTTCCGCACTTTTGCAGTTTTCTGGAAGTTTGTTCCAGATAAGTGGAGCATAGGAACTAAATGCTGCTTCTCCTTGTTTAGTTCTGGTTCTAGGTATGCAGAGCAGGCTGGAGCCAGAAGACCTGAGTGGTCTGGAGGGTTGATACACTGATAGCAAGTCTGTGATGTATTTAGGTGCTAAGCAGAAAACTAAGGTCTGTGGGTTTAATACCGCTTTATTANGCCTCAGAAAGATGGAAGAATGACTGTGACATGTCTGGAGCCATGGATGCAGGAGGACAACATAAGTGGTTCCAGAGAAATCCCTCAGAGGAACTGAATTTCATTTGTTCTAAGAATTAAAGCTTAAGCTGATCTCTGGTGTCATAGTCTTAAAAGCTAATGGTGGTGGAAAAAAACAAAAAAAACAACAACATTTTTTTGGGGGGGTGGGAGCTTTATAAATAAAATAGAATAAAAAAAAGCTTTAACTCAGAAACTGTATTGATGGCTGGAGGAAATTTATTTGCTTTTCAATAAATTTATTGCATCTAAAACTGTGTCCTCTATCTAATGAATTATACAGTTTAAGTTATTGGACTAAAAATATATTTTTAGAGGAGAATGAGTTTCTAATGCTGCTCAACATTTATGTCTTTTAATACTAACCTGTTTAGAAAAAAGTTGATCTATAAAGTTTAGAAAATATTTACTTCTTTAGACTTTAGATGATGAAATTATGTATTAATGTGGAGTAAATGTCACAAATGAATAATCATTAGATGGAAGTAAAAAGTATTACTGCTAAACACAGACAATAAAAATGTTAGATTTCAGGTGATAACAATAGTCCATTGAATGGTTTAGCTTAAATCACAGGTGATGCAAAAAATACCACAAACTGTTTTCAATGATCAGTTTTCACAGGTTCTTCCTCATACAGATAGGATTTAATTACTGATATTTTCTCTGTCCTCCTAATAAATTGATGACTAGGTCATTATTTTAGAGAATTTCATGTTCTGTAAACAGAAACCTTACGTCAATGGTCTTCTAGGCAAGGCAAGGCAAATCTATTTGTATAGCACAATTCAGTATAAAGAAAATGCAAAGTGCTTTACATGATTAAAATATAAGAAAATAAATCATAATCAAAGCAAGTAGGAAAAATAAAGATAAATAAATAAAATAAAAAATGCAGAAACAAAAAAGAACATTAAATAGTTGGACTAAAGAAAATAAGAAAGTTGAACTAATTATGTTTTAGTTTAACTGTTTAACTAGAACAGTCGAAGGGAATCCTAGACAAATGTGTTTTTAGTCTTGATTTAAAGGAACTCAGGCTTTCCGCACTTTTACAGTTTTCTGGAAGTTTTTTTCCAGATAAGTGGAGCATAGGAACTAAATGCTGCTTCTCCATGTTTAGTTCTGGTTCTAGGTATGCAGAGCAGGCTGGAGCCAGAAGACCTGAGTGGTCTGGAGGGTTGATACACTGATAGCAAGTCTGTGATGTATTTAGGTGCTAAGCCATTCATGGATTTATAAACTAACAGAAGTATTTTACAGTCTATTCTCTGAGATACAGGGAGCCAGTGTAAAAACTTTAAAACTGGGGTGATGGGCTCTACTTTCTTAGTGTTAGTGAGGACACAGGCAGCAGCGTTCTGGATCAGCTGCAGCTGTCTGATCCACTTTTTAGGCAGATCTGATAAAACACTGCTGCAGTAATCAATTCGACAAAAAATAAACGCATGGATTAGTTTTTCCAGATCATGCTGAGACATTAGTCCTTTAATCCTGGAAATGTTCTTCAGGTGATAGAAAGCCGACCTTGTAATTGTCTTTAAATGCTGTTGGAGGTTCAAGTCTGAATCCAGCACTACACCTAGACTTCGGGCCTGATCAGTGGTTACNATGATCAGTCACAGGTGTGCAGGCAGCTCAGCTCAGGAGGATCCAAGGCGGACTCTGCTGGAGGAAGGTGGAACTTCTCCAGCTCCCAACAGTATGGCTTTCCACTAAAAACACTCAAATGAAATCTGCTAACAAGAAGCTTTCACCCAAATCCATTTGCCCCTATCAGATGGAATCCATTTTGGGCCCTACCTCAGTTCATCTAACACTGCCCTGGAGTCTCATGATCCATCCTGTTTTTCATGTTTATTTCATTAAGCCAGTCAGATCTAGCCTCCTCCAACGTGAGCCTCTAGCCACCCGCACAGCCGGTGGATCTGCTTCCCAAGGGACTCACGGTCCTTCCCCATCCAGCTTGGCTGAGTTTTCCAAAAAAACTTCCCCCTTCAGTTTGTGTAGGTGTCCGATTCTACATGTGGTTCAGAAAGGTTCAGCCAGACCTGACATGTATAGTGTATCTACTCATGCTAAAGGTACTGTGACATATTTTAGACCAAACATTTTGATTGGACTGATAAATCAGTTTATTTTTACAATGGGAAATGACATAGAGTTATCTATTTTGGTGGTTTAAGGCTTAGTAAATCCTCTACATTTGGTGGCATTAATAGACCTGTTTCATTAATCTTAAATCTGTCTTTTTTTATAGACCTAATCTGATGATATTCTAGTGGGTTTTTTTTAAATCTCATACTGTGAAATTAAGATGGAGAGTTAGATTTTTTTTTTCCTTCAAATAAATGTTCCATGGAATTAATTCCTTTCATAGTCTATTTGAGAAAGCTTATCATAGATTTATTTTTGCATGATATCAGGGCTGTTAAAGATGGGCGTACGGTTGAACAGCAAAAATAAGGATCCAGTCATTTTAAGAAACTCCCACCAAGCTGTCAAAGATTAGGTAATACTGAAGCTTTTCAAACTTTCAATGCCTCTTTATGTTTAACAGAATCCTCGAAAGTTGGTAATTTATTTTTGACAAGATCATCATTTTTATTGAATCAACTTACTTATGAGCGATATGGGTTTTCCATCTTGCAAGATCAT